CTCAACACCGAAACCGCCGTAAACCCTAAACCCTAAACCCTAAACCCTAAACCCTAAAGCCCAAGCGTCAAATCCCAAACCCTAGGCGCGAAACCCTAAACCCTAAACCCTAAACCCTGCAGGGGAGGGGCTGTGTGTCTGGGGGGCCTGCAGGTGGCGGTTTGCCGCTCCTTCCTGCGGGGCATTTCGCAGCCACCAGCAGCAGCAGCAGCAGCAGCACAAACCCTCAGACTAAATGCTGCTGCTCTTGCTGACAGCAGCCGCTGCTGGCTGCAGGTGGCGCGGCTGCTGTCGCTAGACCCTGACATGTGCGCGCTCGCGCCGCTGCAGCGGAAGCAGCTGCTGCTGCAGCAGCAGCAGCAGCCACAGCAGCAGCAGCAGCAGCAGCAGCCACAGCAGCAGCAGCAGCAGCAGCAGCAACAGCAGCAGTTGCAGCAGCAGCAGCAGCAGCAGCAGCCACTGAAGCGAAAGCGCAGCGGCGACTACGACAGCAAAGATAGCGTCGAAGTCGCAAATTCGGATTCCGTTGCTGCTGCTGCTGCTGCTGCTGCTGCTGCTGCTGCTGCTCCGGGTGATGCAGCAGCGTCAGCAGCGACAGACACAGCGGCAGCAAAGGCAGCAGCAGCAGCAGCAGCAGCGCTGCCGGCAGCTCCGGCGGCTGCTGCTGTTGCAGCAGCAGCCGAACAGGCAGCAGCATCATAGCCACTGTAGAAAGTGGTGCGTCCGCTGCTGCTGCTGCTGCTGCTGCTGCAGCTGCTGCAGCAGCTGCAGCTAGAGCAGCAGCAGCTATGTGGCAGTTCTTTTGGCTCTTCCCTTTGCAGCAAAGCCGAGGGTTTATGACACATCTTTCTCAACAGCATAAGCGCAACTAAAACCCTAAACCCTAAACCCTAGGGGCCCCTGCAACCACCAAAAAAGGGGGCCCCACTAACTTGAAGCAGCAAACAGGTACAGGTCTTTGCCTTTGGGGGCCCTCCTTTAGCTTTAGGCTTCAGGGGCCCCCCTTGCTGCAGTCGGGGGCCCCCTGGGGGCCCCCCGTTGCTGCAGTTTGGGGGCCCCTGGGGCCCCCGCAACAGGGTACTGGGGGCCCCAGGGGGCCCCCCGGGACAGCAGCAAGGGGCCCCCACGGACCCTTTAGTGTTATTAAGGGCTCTTGAGGGGCCCCTTTGCATAATTTTGAAGTGCCGCCAATAACAGGGGGCCCCTAGGGGAGTCCCTAGGGGGGCCCCCCTAGGGGGCCCCCCTAGGGGGCCCCCCTAGGGGGCCCCCCCAGGGGGCCCCTAGGGGACCCCTTAGGGGCCCCCATGGGGGGCCCCTAGGGGACCTTTTTGCGGCGAGGGGCCCCCGAGGGGGGCCCCTATATTATTGGGGCCCCCTAGGGGCCCCCCTTTCCCTACAGATGGGGCCCCTGGGGGCCCCCTATTAAATGTGGGGCCCCTTTAGTAACTAGGGGCCCCAGGGGGCCCCTAGCAAACTGGGGGCCCCTCTGCTATTTGGGGGGCCCCTGGGGCCCCCTTTACAGCAGCAGCTGAAAGGGAAAGTAGAATAAGGGTTTAGTGCTTCTTTCGGAGGACACCTGTCTTGATCTGAGTAAACCCTAAACCCTAAACCCTAAACCCTAAGAGCTGCCCCCAGTTTCGCTCGGCATTAAGTGCTGACAACAAGGCCGCGCTGAAGCGCGGCTGATCCCTAAAGCCGTAAACCCTAAACCCTAAACCCTAAACCCTCGTTAGACTTGTTGCGCAGCAGCAAATGGAGGCGAACTCGCAGCAGCAAGAGGACAAAGCCAGACACTGAAAGCAGCAGCTTGTTCGAAAGTAATTAAATTTATTTTTTTAATTTTAAATTTAATTTTAAATTTAATAAAAAGAATTGCAAATAAGAAGGCGCTGGGGGGCGGGCAGTGCCACTGGGGGTGGGGTGCTGCCTGTGTCTTGTGCGCAGCAACCCCCCCCAAAACGCCCTCATTTCGCGCCGTTTTCGCCGCCAAATAGCTCGAAATTATCCAAAATTAATCTTTTAATTGAATTTCTCGCCTCAAAAGGTTCCAAAAAGCTCCAGAATTCGCGAAAATTGAGCAAAACTGGCCCCCGCCAGAAAAGCTGGTGACCGGGTGGCGGGGGGCCGCCGCCGGCCGCCAGCAGCAGCATGCAGCCGCAGCAGGGGGCCCCATAGAGTTAGCGTTTTATATTTTGTTTTGTTATTTATCTTTTTAAAAAACTAAGAGTTTGCACCGGCCAGGTCCGCCCCGTCGGCAGCGCCAGCAGCAGCAGCAGCAGCAGCAGCAGCAGCAGCAGCGGCGGCGGCTCCCCCAGCAGCAAATCGAAGTCAGGTGTACGTACACCTCAGGTGTACACGCATCCCCACGTGCTTTTTTGATGAAATTTTTGCAGCGGCGGAGATCCGGTCCCGCGGGTGGCCCCTGCAGCAGCAGCAGCAGCAGCAGCAGCAGCAGCAGCAGTAGCAAGCACGGAGAGCAAGTTGTAGCAGCTACACAGCAGCAGCAGCAATAGCGCAATGGGTTTGAAGTTCGAGGAAGAGAAGGAGAGCTCCAAGTGCAGCAACGGCAACAGCAGCAGCAGCAGCAGCAGCAGCAGCAGCAGCCCCGAAGCCGCAGGTTTGAGCAGTCCGAAGCAGGCAGCAGCAGCAGCAGCAGCAGCAGCGACTCCAGCTGCTGCAGCAGTCGGCAGCAGCCGTAGAAAGAGCCTGCGCTGCGTGCGGCCGACCGCCGCTTCAGCAGCAGCAGCAGCATCTGCTGCTGCACCTGCAGCAGCAGCTGCTGCAGCACCTGCTGTTGCACATACACCTCAGAAGGGAAGAGTCAGGAAGCAAAGCAGCAGCTGCAGCAGCGCCACAAGCAGCACCAGCAGCATAGAAGCTTGCAGCAGCAGCTGCAGCAAACGCCGGAGATGCACGCGCAACCGCAGCAGCAGCAGCAGCAGCAGCAGCGCAGCTGCAACCCGCAGCCAGCGGAGCCGGCGCGCAGCAGCAGCAGCAGCAGCAGCAGCAGGTACAGCAGCAGACATAGCAGCAGCAGGCACAGCAACAGCAGCAGCAGCGGACCCGGCCAGCGAAAACCAGCAAACTGACAGGCCGAGAAGTGATGCAGACAGCAGCAGCAGCAGCTGCTGCAGAAGCAGCAGCAGCAGCAGAAGTAGCGGCAGCAGCTGCTGCGGCAGGGAGGGCGCTTCCAGCAGCAGCAGCAGCAGCAGCAGCGATGCTGCTGGCCCCTGTACAGAGGCTCGCAGCGGAGCCCCTCTTGGCGTAGAGAGCAGCAGCAGCAGCAGCAGCAGCAGCAAGGAGAGTGAAAGCAGCAGCAGCAGCAGCAGCAAGGAGAATGGCGTCAGCAGCAGCAGCAGCAGCAAGGAGACTGGCAGCAGCAGCAAGGAGAATGACAGCAACGAAAACAAGGAGAACGACAGCAGCAACGGCAAGGAGAATCCCAGCAGCAGCAGCAGCAGCAAGGAGAATGGCAGCAGCAGCAGCAAGAACAGCAGCAGCAGCAGCAGCAGCAGCAGCAGCAGCAGCAGCACAGGGTGCGCGTCATCCCTTTCTTGCGATTTGTCTCCTTCTTGCTTCGCCCCTTTTGACTTCTCTCCGCCGTTGCTGCTGAAGCAGCAGCAGCGCTGCTGCCGCCGCAGCAGCAGCCAGCAGCAGAGCAGCAGCAGCTGCTGCTGCGGCCAGCAGCAGAGCAGCAGCAGCTGCTGCTGCGGCCAGCAGCAGCAGCAGCAGCAGCAGCAGGGGTGGTCGCCGTGGCCGTCGCCGCTGTTCCAGCGGCCGCGCCCCAGCTTCAACTGCAGCCGCCGCAGCAGCAGCAGCAGCAGCAGCAGCTTATTTGCTGCTGGCTTTTCTTTTGCTGCTGCTCAAATGCCTCCAACAGATTTATATTTGTCTTCTCCCGGAGTTGCTTCTGTGGACCGCAGCAGCAGCCAGCTCTCCTGCTGCAGCAGCTTGTCGCTGGCCATAGCGCGCCCCGTGCAGCAGCAGCAGCAGCAGCAGCAGCAGCAGCAGCAGCAGCAGCAGCAGCAGCAGCGGCAGCAGCAGCAGCGCGCCAGCGAGGCGCCCGCCCACTGCTGCTGCAGCGACTGGGAGGCCTCCGGCAACAGCCACAGACACAGGAGGCACTGCAGCAGCGGCAACCAGCAGCAGCAGCAGCAGCAGCAGCAGCAGCAGCAGCAGCAGCACTTCCCGCAGTCCTCGCCCATTGTACGGAGGGCCAGGCGCCTCTCAGATGATAGCTGCTACAGCAGCAGCAGCAGCAGCAGCAGCAGCAGCAGTTGCTGCTGCAGACCCCCTGGAGTACCGGGGTGCCTGCTGCTCCCGACAGGAATGCAGCAGCAGCAGCAGCAGCAGCAGCAGCAGCAGCACGGCAGCGTAGACAGCGCAAGCAAGCGGAGGAGACAACTGGGCAGCGGCGTGTACAGCAGCAGCAGCAGCAGCAGCAGCAGCAGCAGCAGCTTCTGCTGCTGCAGCAGACAGCTCAGTAGGGAGACAATCCTCGGGGGCCCAAGAGCAGCAACTGCTCAGGACGGCCTCGGGTTTAGGGTTTAGGGTTTAGGGTTTAGGGTTTAGGGTTTGTAACAGCAAGGGCGCGGCGACGGAGCCCAGCAGGGGTCCTTGGCCAGCACCCTAAACCCTAAACCCTAAACCCCGAGGGTTTTGGGGTCTGCAGCTCAAACCCTTGAGGACTCTCAAGCCTTATGCAAACCCTAAACCCTCTCATGCAAACCCTAAACCCTCACGCAAACCCTAAACCCTAGCCAGAGTCTGGCTGCTGTAGATAGCTGCTGAGGTGTATGTACACTTGGAGAGTGCAGCAAAAGATGCTAGGCAGTGCTGTCACAGGCAGCAGCAGCAGCAGCAGCAGCAGCAGCAGCAGAAACAGCAGCAGCTGCAGCAGCAGCAGCAGCAGCAGTAGTGGCACGTGATAGTGATGTGCACGGGTTTAGGGTTTGGAGCTCCAGCCGTAGTGCCTGCTCATGAGCTAAACCCTAAACCCTAGCCCTTCTAGGGTTTAGGGTTTAGGGTTTAGGGTTTAGAGCTGCAGGGTTTCAGGCAGCGTAACCCTTTGTCGCTGCTGCTCGAAACCCTAGCGAAACTATCCCAACGCAAACCCTAAACCCTCGCAGCAGCAGGGAAGAACTAAACCCTCAGTTATTCCAAACCCTAAACCCTAGAAAGCGCAGGCGCAGGCTGGAAACGGAACCCTCGGGGAGGCTATGTGCGCCCTTCTCTAAACCCTAAATCGTGGTTTAGCCCTGCGCACCTGAAACCCTAAACCCTCTCTGAGGCGGGGAGAAGGGTTTAGGGTTTCCGCGCAAGGGTTTAGTCAAAGAGTCAGCAGCTGTGGACCGAGAGCCCTAATTTAGGGGCGAGGGTTTAGGGTTTAGGGTTTAGGGTTTGGGGTTTGGGGTTTGGTTTCCGCTCCAGAGCCACTGGCTGGGGGCTGGCCAGCGGCATCGACAGACGGGCGCAGCCAAACCCTAAACCCTAAACCCTAAACCCTTGAAAAAGAGCCCTCAATTCGAAGTCAACTGACAATTTGGCTTTCGCAGTGGTTCGTGCTGCAGGTACTTTCTCGCGAGTTGCTGCTGCAGCAGCAGCAGCAGCAGCAGCAGCTGCAGCAGCAGCAGCAGCAGCAATTAGCAGCAAACCCTTTAGTTGTTTTCTTTCTTTTTCTTCTCTCTTCTTTTCTGCTGTATTGACAGCAGCGGGGCAGCAGCAGCATTTCCTGGCGCTGCTGCGGGCGCCGAGGCTGCTAGACCCTAAACCCTAAACCCTAAACCCTAAACCCTAAACCCTAAACCCTTTCTTCGCAGCGCGTGATACAGGTGAAACCGCCGAATTAGACTTCTCAGAGATCCCTAAGGGGGCTCAAACCCTAAACCCTAAACCCTAGACCACACGGGATTAGCTCTTCGACTGTTTAGGGCTACTAAACCCTAAACCCTAAACCCTAAAGAGCTTCATTGGAAGCCACAAGAGGAACGCGTCGCTTGGCTCTTTGACCTGGGGTTTAGCGCTAAGGGTTTAGGGTTTAGGGTTTGGGGTTTAGGGTTTAGGGTTTAGGGAGGGGCCGTACAAATGGTTCTTTCGCGCTGCAGTGCCCCTGTAAACCCTAGAGGTGATAAATAGAAGCAGCTCATGGGGCTTCCAGGCAGAGAGAGTCCTGCTGCTGCTTCCCCTGCTGCTGCTGCTGCTGCTGCTGCACCAGCAGCAGCAGCAGCAGCAGCAGCAGCAGCAGCAGAGCCAGACTCGGGCGGCGCGTCCGGCGCCGAGCAGGAGCACCAGCAGCAGCAGCAGCAGGACTACCAGCAAGACCAGCAGCAGCAGCAGCAGCAGCAGCAGCAGCAGCAGCAGCAGCAGCAGCAGCAGGCCGCAGCAAAGGGCCCCGCAGGGGCCCCCGGGGGGCCCCCCGCAGGGGCCCCCAGAAGATGGTGGGGCCTCAAGGGCCTCCTGGGTACAGCAAAATGCGAAGGGGGGCCCCCCAGGGGGGCCCCCTGGGGGCCCCACTGCCGCAGGGTACAGAAAAGGGCCCCTTATAGTCAAGTAGTGGGAGGCAAGAATGTTGCAGTGCTGCTGAGGGAGCTGCAGGGGGAGGCAGGTGAGGGTTTAGGGTTTAGGGTTTAGGGTTTAGGGTTTAGGGTTTGGGGTTTGGGGGTTGGGGGTTGGGGTTCAGGGGGTTTCGGTGCCTCAAACACTCAGGGCAAGGATGCACGCGATGCTGACGCAACGGGGCGTTAGGGTTTGAGGCTTAGTTGTAGGGTTTAGGGTTTAGGGTTTAGGGTTTAGGGTTTAGGGTTTAGGGTTTAGAATTTCTGCGGCCTGCAGGTAGGCCCTCTTACTTGCTGGAAACCACCAGCGAGCGCTCTCTCATCTACGGGCTGCTAAACCCTATAGTGCTTCTTGCTTTCTACAAGTAAACCCTAAACCCTAAACCCTAAACCCTAAACCTTTTGGCAGCAGCTGCTGCCTCGAACCCTGAAAAGCTACTCCTGTATCCCTAACCCTAAACCCTAAACCCTAAACCCTGCTGCAAGCGTTAAACGGGAGCTCTGGTAGTGGTGGGAAGGTTCTGGCTGGGTTTTGAGGCTAGGGTTTAGGGTTTAGGGTTTATGTTTTAGGGTTTAGGGTTTAGGGTTTACGCTTTTGAACTCTGGCTCTGTACAGGTTTGTGGAAGAGCACCGCCTGCAGCAGCTGACGGCGATGAAACCTGTCAAGAAGTACGCAGCAGCAGCAGCAGCAGCAGCAGCAGCAACTGCAGCAGCAGCAGCAGCTGCAGCAGCAGCAGCTGCTGCCGCTGCTGCAGCGAAAATGGCAACATCGGCAGCCGGATTGGCAGCAGCAGCAGCAGCAGCAGCAGCGTCTCACTGCAGTGGCTTGTAATTTGAGGCTCTGGATTTCGAAACCTCGAGTTGGGGTTTAGGACTTAGGGTTTAGGGTTTAGGGTTTAGGGTTTAGGGTTTGTTGCTGCTGCAGGGGAGAAGCGTCAGTCCCGAAGCCCCAGGCCCGCGGAGAGTATATATACTTGCTGCACACTTTGGCTTCCTTTGCCTACTCAAAGCCATTCTTGTCGAAAGTAAACCCCAAACCCTAAACCCTAAACCCTAAACCCTAAACCCTCGTTTATTTTTCGGCGCCCCTGCAGTGCGCCGCCATGCCCTTGAAGTCCCGTTCCCTTTTGCTGCCCGCAAGCTTTCCTTCGCGCGCAGGCTTTCCCCCAGTACTCAGCGTTTAGGGTTTAGGGTTTAGGGTTTAGGGTTTAGGGTTTAGGGTTTAGGGTTTAGGGTTTAGGGTTTGCGGTTAGGCCAAGCGCTCCTTCTTCGAGCGGCGGCTGGTGCAGCCCTGCGCCTGCGTTCTTTCCTTCTTTGAAGTTCCGCCGGAGGCTTTGGGGGTGCAGCAGCTGCTGCGGCCAGGGGGGCAGCTAGCTAGCCAGCTAGCTAGCCAGCTAGCTAGCCAGCAGCTAGCTAGCCAGCTAGCTAGCCAGCTAGCTAGCCAGCTAGCCAGCCCGCCGGCCTCTGGCTGGCGGCGCATGCGGCGGGCCAGCGAGGTGGGCGACTCTTTCGAGGACAGCAGCAGCGAGCAGCAGCAGCAGCAGCAGCAGCAGCAGCAGCACTGCAGCAGGAGGACCCGCAAGCAAAGGAGGCACTCCAGAGGCGACAGATACAGGAAGCAGCAGCAGCAGCAGCAGCAGCAGCAGCAGCAGCAGCAGGAGCCGCAGCAGCAGCGGCAGCGCAGCGGCTCGCCCTGCCAGCAGCAGCTCCGGGCAGCAGCAGCAGCAGCAGCAAGCCGCGGCAGGAGAGACGCAGCAGCAGACGAGCAGCAGCTAACTTGGGACGTTGCTGCTGCTGCTCTTTCGAGGGGCAGCAGCAGCAGCAAAGCTGCATGCAGCAAATTCTTAACTGCAGCAGCAGACTGGCTCCTCGAGCTGCTGCTGCCCCTGTGGGAGGACTTCAGGGGATCGACCCTCGTAAGCGCCTAGGGTTTAGGGTTTAGGGTTTAGGGCTTAGGGTTTAGGGTTTAGAGTTTAGGGTTTAGGGTTTAGGGTTTAGGGTTTAAACACTGCAGTGCGGCTATTGTCGATCTCTCTCTTTCAGTCTGCCCTTCCATATATAATTAATTATTAAAATAATTGTTTTTAAATTAATTATTTTAAATTAATTATATTAAACCAATTATTTTAAATTAATTAATTTTATTAATTCAGGGTTTAGGGTTTAGGGTTTAGGGTTTTAGGGTTTAATATTTGTCCTTTTACACTTTTCTTTTGCTGCTGCTGCGGAGAGGAGTCTTTTTATCAATTATTAGTCTTCAATAATTTATTCTTCATTTTTATTATCATTAATGATAAATAATTAAATTATTATTATTAATTATTTATTTTTATTTATTATTATTATTTATTTATTAGAGTTTTATTTATTTATTTATCCATTTTGTCTTTTTTGCTGCTGCTGCTGCTGCAGCCGCAGCTGCTGCGGGAAAACCTGCACAGCCGTTTTAACCCCAAAACGGCGCTTTTGGAAAAGATATTTAAACTGCAGCAGCAACAGTCGCATGCGTCCCGCAGAGCCCCACGGGAGCCGCCGTGACCCCTACAGACCAGCAGCAGCAGCAGCAGCAGCAGCAGCAGCAGCAGCAGCAGCAGCAACTGCTGGGTGAAGGGGTTTCAGCTGAAGGGCTGGGGCTTGGCGCTGCAGAGGCGCTGGGGGGCCCCTCGGGGGGCCCCCCTGTTGGGGGCCCCCCCTGGGGGGCCCCCAGGTCCGGAAAAGAGGGTACTGCAGCAGGAACTTTGAGGCCCCCTGGGAAGTCTTCGAGCAATATGCTGCAGAAGCGAAGTGCCCTTAGGCTGGGCCTGATGTCTTTTCTCGAAGAAAGAAACAGCCTAGCTGCAGACGGAAACGTGAGGGTTTAGGGTTTAGGGTTTAGGGTTTAGGGTTTAGGGTTTAGGGTTTAGGGTTTTGCGGCGACGAGCCCCTCCCGAGGCGGGGGGACCCACCCTCTTGCGTTGCCGTTGGGCGCTCTGTTTCCAACCCTAGAGGCTGCTGGGCTGAATGTCTCGGGTTTAGGGTTTAGGGTTTAGGGTTTAGGGTTTAGGGTTTAGGGTTTGGTGCAGGTGGGGGGCGCAGCAGTGCGCACGGACAGCCCCAGCTACGCACTGACAGTGGCGATGATGAAGGGAATGGAATTGAGCAACTGCTTCAACGCGGGTTTGGTGGCGCTGGCCCACAAAGACGGCAATCAGCTCGACGTGAGGGTTTAGGGTTTAGGGTTTAGGGTTTAGGGTTTAGGGTTTAGGGTTGGGGTTTGTGTTCGGGGTTTGGGTTTGGGGCTTCAACGCGGGTTTGGTGGCGCTGGCCCACAAAGACGGCAACCAGCTCGGCGTGAGCGTTTAGGGTTTAGGGTTTAGGGTTTAGGGTTTAGGGTTGGGGTTTAGGGTTTAGGGTCTAGGGGTCGGGTTAGGGTTTGGTGGCGCTGGCCCACAAAGACGGAACCCGCTGGAAATGAGTGTGTAGCGTTAGCTGATGCTTTGCGCTCACCGTCGCTGCCTGTGCCCTGCTGCTGCTGCTGCTGCTGCTGCTGCTGCTGCTGCTGCTGCTGCTGCTGCTGCTGCTG